GTATCCCTGAAAAAGAAAAAGGAAGGAAGGAAAGAAAGAAAGGAAAAAAGAAAGAGACAGAGAAAGAAAAAGGAACTTTATTTTATAGCATACAGATATTACTAGGCTAACACGCTAATATTACGACAATTTCGTACAAACAAATTTGACAACTCAGACAAAATGGACATATTTCTTGAAAGCCACTATACAAGTTTTGTTTTGTTTGTTGCATTGTGGATTGAAACCAGGAGCTTCATCCACAGTGAACTACATCCCAGTCCTTTGTTCTCTTTTAAGATGGTTCTCACTAAGTCACTAACCTGCCCAGGCTGGATTTTAATTTACTCTTCTCTGGCATCAGCTTCCCAAAATACTGAGATTCTAGGTATGCACCACTTTCTTATTGCTGTTTGAATAAACTACCATAAATATTGTGACTTAAATATGGTGAACTTATTATCTTGTAGCTCCAGAATACACAAGCTGAAAACTAATTTTATCTGGTAAAATTAAGGAATTGTCTGGATTGTGTTTCTCCTGGACGTTCCAGGGGAGAATCCATTTCCCTGCTTCTCCAGGGTAGCTACATGCGCTCTTTAGCTGCAGGCCCTGGATAGCATCACGTCTTCCCTTTCTCCTTCCCCTCCTCCTCATTCTTCTCTTCCTCTTCTTTTTCTTCTCTCTCTCTCTCTCTCTCTCTCTCTCTATTTCTTTTCTTTTCTTTTTTTTTTTTTTTTGTAGTGAGAATTTAATCCAGGGCCTTTGCAACAAGCTATATCCGTAGCCTTTTCCACCTTTTTATTTTGAGATAGAGTCTTACTAGATTCCTAAATTGCCGAGGTTGGGATCAAACATGCTATCCTACTGTGTCCATCTCTCAAAGCACTGGGATTACAGGTGTGCACCATCATGCTTGGCTGGATCTCTACCTCTGTCGTCACATCTCCTTTCTGAATCTGACTCCCCTATATCCCTCCTGTAAAGACTCGATTATATTGGGTTCACCCCAGGTAATAAGATAACCTTAACCATTTCAGGATCCTTAGCTTCCTCACATCTTTAAAGTTCCTTTGCCATGTAAAAGAATACACTTATAGATTTGGGGGACTAAGACATGAGCACCTCAGGGGGATCATTCTATCTATCAGACATGCAAATTACCAAAACAGACACATAAAAAAATACACCATCCAAATATGGTTAACTATCCAAGTAGGGTTATACCTCTCAAAGAACCTAAATTTGTGGTTAAAATTCTTCCCACTGAGAAACACTTTCAGGTTAGTCATTTTAGAATGATTTCAGTGGCATTTTATGTCAAACATCTAAGGAAAAAATGAAGCCCGACTCCGTGCCAAACACAAAAATTAACCGAACATGGATCACAGGCCTAAACATAAAGAAAAATCTATAAATTTACAAAGAAAACATAGGAGAACATGTTTGTGACTTTGAAGTGGTATTTGTTTATTTATTTATTTGCAGTACTGAGGCTTGCACCAAGGCCCTTGCATGTGCTAGGCATGCGCTCTACCTCAGCCACTTGGTGTGTTTTATTTTGGGACAGGCTCTCACTAAGTTGCCCAGGTTGGCCCCAGCTGCAACCCATCTGCCTCAGCTCCCCAACAACTGGAATTACAAATGTATGCCACCATTCCCTGCTGGTCAAGAGTTTTTGATAAGACACAAAAAACACATACCACAACAGAAAATTTGTAAATTTTTCATTATAATTAAATCATTTGCTCTTCACAGACAATACAAAGACAATACTGATAAAATGAAAAAGCAACCCACCGAGAGAAAATAGTTGCAATTGATAGATCTGACAAAAATTGCTTTCCAGAATACATAAAGAACTCTTAAAACCCAATAAAAGAACAAAAATTTCAAAAAAAACAGTAGGCAAAGAAGACATGAAAATGGCCAATTAGCACATGACCATCAGTCATCGGGAAAATAATACTAAAACCATATTGGGCTGGGCATGGTGATGCACACCTGTATTCCCAGCAGTCTAGGAGGCTGAGACAAGAGGATTGAAAGTTTGAGTCCAGCCCAGACAACCTACTGAGACTCCATCTCAAAATAAAAAAGGGTTGTATTTGTACCTGGGTGCAAAGCCCTGTTTAAATCCCCATATGAGGGGAAGAAACATACACTGTACTTACCTAATCAGCTTGATAAAATATAAAGGGGATGGCAATACCAAATATTAGTACGAATGAGAAACATCTTTTTGTTTCAGTGGAAATAAAAAATAATATAACTGCTGTGAAAAATAATTTGGTAAGTAAAATACATATTATCATACAATCTAGTAATTCCAATTCTAGATTTTTACTCTTGATAAAACATATGAAAACATGTATCCACACAAAGACTTTTTAGTCATCATAGCATTTATTCAAAATAACCAGAAAACAACCATAATGACCATTACCAGGTAACCAGAAAAAGAGATTGTGGTGTATCTATTGTGAATACTCTCAGAAATAAGAAGGAACAAACTAATGATACTTGTAACAGGATGGATAAGCCTCAAAAACATTATGCTGTGCAAAAAAACCTGTAAAAAGCATGAACTATATGATTTCCATTAATTTTAAATTCTGTAACAGGCAAAACTAACATCTACTGACAGGAAGCAGTTCGGTGGTTAGCTTGAGTTGTAGAAAGAGGAACTGACTGCGAAAGATCATGAACTTGCTTTTTGCAATGATGGCAGTTTTTATTATAGTGGTGATTACATGGATTTATTGGTCAAAGCTCATTGAACAGCATACTCAAAGTGAGTGCACATTGTGTGTATAAATCATAATTCAATAATTTAGATTGCTTCAAATAAAAGAAAAAAGTTAAAAACGAAAAAGCCTGGGCCCCATTTCTAGGGATGCCAGTATAGCAGGACTGATATGGGGCCCAGATTGTTGCATTTTTAATCAAGCCCATGGGTAATTATGCTCCAGGCTGTTCCATTTGTAGAAATAGTATTGGTCTAGGGGCTGGGGATTTAGCTCAGTGGCTTAAGCACCTGCCTGGCAAGCACGAGGTCATGAGTTTGATCCCTGGCACCACAAAAAAAAAAAAAAAAAAAAAAAAAAAGTATCGACAGGGAGCTCGAAGTGCAACTCATTGTGAAGGTCCTGGGTTCAGTCCCCAGTCCCCTAGGAATGGAGAAGAAAGGAGGGAGTAAAGGGGAAAAAAGGAAGGATAAAGGATATTGGTGTCTACAAGTCCAACGCTTGGACAACAAATCAGCTGTTGCCTCGCTATGGACAGGCTTCTTTAATTCATTCTTTATTAAGGAAACCTTGCTAGAAAATAAACAAGAGAAAACTAAAATAAAAATACATTATCAATGCAGAGAAATCTCTTTATTTGCAAAGGGCAAATTCTTTCCCACAAGGTCATTCAAGTCTGGCACCAAACAGGCTTGACTTTCCCTGGATCCAGCATCCACCAATCCGCTTACCCCGGAGAACAGCAAGGAGGCAGGGAGCCTGATGAACCTGCTCCTCAGACAATGGAATAGCATGTGTGAAGTGCATTCATAGTCTTGCCTTCTTCCTGTCCCACCTGTAGAAAAGAAAATTCCGTTCCCTGGCAAATTAGCTGCAGCCAATGGGCTCCATCTTGTTCCTTTAGTATTTTCCACACTGCTTGGCATATCTTTGCCATTTTCTGTTTGTTCTGCCTGTTAAAATTCTTCCCATCCTTCATGACTCAGCTTGAGTGAGATGCTCATCAGATGCCACAGTCAGGGGCAACTTCTCTCCCCTGCACTCCTATAGCAGATGGCTTAAAGAACTCAAAAAAGCTTGACTTACCTTTTTTTAAAACGCATATGCATGCCACACTTACATGGTGCTCCATTGTGAGCTACTTGATTATAGAAGGTATAACTTATGGTCTCAGCTAATCGTAGCCTGCAAGAATCCCAGTATATTACAGGGCATCTGGTGGATGTTTTACATACAATCATGGTAGAAAGGAATGAATGGTTTGGTCACTGCTGAATAACATCTCTGAGCTTTGTTTGTGCCTCACCTCCTTCCAAGAAAACCTTTCTCACAGTGTAAACTTTTTCCAAAAAGACTTCCCAGGTCCCCTGGTGGTGGTTTCTACAGCACTCTGGGGATAAATCTATCTTACCGCTTATGGTCTCCAGATGATAAGGTAATTATTTATTATCTGTTTCATTCACTTATTCAGAAGCAAGCCGAAGATTCCATCTTAGTCACTTTTATTTTACAATTTGCCTAGCCCAGGGTTTTGTAATAGCCTGTGCTTCCTAAATAGTTATCAAACAGAACAGTCTCTTCAGAATTCAGACCAGGCCAAAGCTGCCCTGAAATCTCATTCCCAAAAAAGTGCAGCACGAACAGTTTTTGCACCTTGCTCCCACATAGCTGGATGAAGCGGCAGGTTCAGACGTTTTCTAGGGGCCCTTAAATCCCAAAAGCCTGGGGATCCCCAGCAGAACAAACTGCTGAACACGAAAGAGGACAGGCAGAAAGTCTTCAACAGAGGCCGCCAGCTTCTGGAATGGTGGGACATAGTGTGTTCTTGATTTTCCAGCGTCCAGGCTTTTCTCTCCCTTGGCACGTTTCTCTCTCCCTCTGTCCACACTGCCCCTTTCGGGCTTCCTCGGTCTCCCGGTCTCGCCTTCTCCTCTTTCCTTGTCTGCTTCCCTCCTACCAGTGCCACCACACTTTCCCAGGACCGCTGCACATTTATCTCATCAGTCTCGGGAGCCTCTTCCCATATTTTGGCCCTCACCCTAGACCCCCATTCACATTTCCTCCCCTCCCCTCCCCTCCCCTCCCCTCTCCTCCCTCCTTCCCTCCTTCCTTCCCTCCCCTCCCCCTCCGCCCAGCGGGAGCCGAGCCTCCTCCCGAGGCCCAGAGGCGGGAGGTGGGTGGGCCCGGCGCCGCGGTCCCGCCCCTCGTGCGTGTGTGAAGGTCCGTGTGGCAGTGACGCGGCGTCGGCGGCGGGCAGGGGAGGGAGGCCGGGCCGCCGGAGAGGACCGCCACCGGCCGCCAGGGCTGCGGGGCTCCCGCCGGCCGCCGGGGCGCAGGCGGGGCGCAGCGGCGGCGGGCGGCATGGAGAGCCTGCTGGAGAACCCGGTGCGCGCCGTGCTCTACCTGAAGGAGCTCACGGCCATCGTGCAGAACCAGCAGAGCCTCATCCACACCCAGCGCCAGCGCATCGACGAGCTGGAGCGGCGGCTGGACGAGCTGAGCGCCGAGAACCGCAGCCTGTGGGAGCACCAGCAGCTGCTGCAAGCCCAGCCTCCGCCCGGGCTCGTGGCCCCGTCGCCGGCCCCGCAGCGGGCTCCCGCGTCCGCGTCTCCCGCCGCCCCCGCCGCCGGCGCCGCGATCGAGGCCCAGGAGCCGCTCCAGGACCACGGACAGCTCCCGCCCGCCGCCCCGCAGCCCGCGCCCGAGCAGCCGCCGCTTCAGCACCACGGACAGCTCTCCGCGCAGCCCCAATCCGGGCCCGGCGGCCGGGCTCACCCACCCCAGTCGCCCCACCAGCACCGGGTGACACTTGGGGCCGCGGCCGACAAGGAGAAGGAGCGTCCCCCGAGTTGTTGCGCTGCCGCCGGAGCCCTCCTTCAGCACAAATCCTCGGCTGCCCTGGGCAAGGGCGTCCTGAGCAGGAGACCCGAGTGAGTGGGGAAGAGGAGAGGAGGACCGTTGTGGTGGGAGGAGGAGATGCAAGTGGGTGTGAGGAGGGGAAATCGGGTGCGGGTAAGAGTCTGAGGACTAGGGTACTGTGAAGTGAAGGGGTGCAAAGATGCCTTGGGGTAGAAGTGTGTCAAGGAGATGTGGAGGAAAGGAGAGGATGCTATCGGTGTTCAAGAAGGTTTTGTGGATTGTTGGAGCAAAAGATCTTTCACCCAGATCATCTTTGGTGGCAAAGGAGAAAAATGGGTGTTAAGTAGCTGAGGGTAGTGGGAATTGGCAGTGTTTAGAGGGCACAAATTGAGAAGACGATATGAAGACTAAACGGAAGGAAAGAGGAACATGGAAAGATTTAAGTGAGGGAAATTTTGAGAGGGGAATTTAGGTAGTAAAATGGTCTAAATTGAGGAGATCTGAAAAAAAGATAGAGGACTGACCAAGAGACTTGTTACAAGCTTTAAAGGGCCTTGGTAGGAGGGTAGTTCCAAAGTGAGTAAGACTGGGACAGAAGGAGATTCAGGAGGCAGAGGATAAAGCAGAAAGACAGGAGTGATGTGAAAAGGAAAAGGAGCTGGAGACAGAGGGAGATAAAAGGTGGGAGAAAGCATTTCCAGAGGAACAAGCTGGCTCTTTAACTGGTGCAGTGGGAGTCAAAGCCAGAAGTGGCTCACGGAGGAAGACTACTCTGCTTTGGCCTGAGTGGGCACCTTTCTTCCGAATCCCTGCAGTGAGGGGTGCCAGGACACAACCCACCAAATCCACGGAGGACTCAGTCAGAGTGCAAGAACTCAGTCTGATTGTAGCTTTTCCTTCTGACTCACGGAGGCTGTCTGAGCAGGGACGTTGGCAATTGTGGAAAGGAAAAAATGACGAGGGAATAGCTGGTAAACAGTAGTTATTTGGAAGTAATGCCTCCTTAAATCTCTGTTATGGCTAATGACTGCCGGCCTTATTTCTCTTTGGCTATTTGGCAATAACTGAAATCTTGTATTGGGTCTCAGGAGAAATGCTGACTGCCTCCATCCAGCAATTCTCAGACCTCAAGTTTTTCCTCCACTCATGAGGCCCATGGACTAGGAATGTAGAGAGAATAACTGACAAGAGGCTGGGATTCTCAGTGCTGTGTGTTGGGAAGGCTGTGATCACGTCAGCTTTCCTTCTCTGATTAGACAGGTGATGGAAAAACTGCAGAAGAGGCCTGGAGAAATCAGCACTTGGCTAGCACCTGGCCCTGGCAGTGGCAATACTAAAGGAATGGATAAGTTGAAAGTGCTAAGAACCTCATCTTTATTCAATCTGAAATGTGCTTTATGTCTGGGAGACACACGTATTTTCTCCCTAGCATCACCCTGCTAAACCCTGCATTTCCTTCTGCTATATGTTGTGGAATTAGAAAAGGTGGGTCAGGGCATGTTAGGTCATAGAGTTTTTAACAGAACCATGGGGGCCATGGGGTGAAGATCTAGGATGATCTGGCTTGACAGGTCTAAAGCATTTGATTCAACCCCCAAGGAGACACAGTTTTATTCCTCAGCTCCCTCAGTGGCTCATTTGGCCTCTCAGCATCATGGCTTTCTTTCCTTATCTGGCATAGAGAGCAGAAAGTTGGGGTTTGCACAGTGCCCACAGATCAGCAAAAGGCAGCATTCTTCCAAATATTTATGGCCTTTTCCTCAAACAGGGTAAATGAACTATTCCATTCTATTTGCATTCTGGAGGCAGCCTTGTCTTCCTGCTAATTATTACGTCTGACCCTGTCATGACATTTGGTTGCTCCCATCTCCCTCACTATGTTCCCACTTTCCCTGCAGCTCTTCAAGGGTCTGTGTGGGCAAGGCATGAAGTTTCCCCAAAGAACCTTGAATAACTCTTCTTGATAAAAACTTTGCTATGGACCTCAAAGCGGGTGGAGGCTCCTTCTGGCCAGATGCTCCTGTTGGGAATTTAGAAACATAGGAAACACTTGGATTCTTATCCAGCTTCACGAGTCAATAGTGTGTGATCTCCTTATCTTTTCTTCTCCTCTGCTCTGCTTTTGTGTCCCAAGGGAGAACAAAAATAAGAAACAAACAGCATGGTGGAAGAGAGTGGGACTTGTTGAAAAACTTTCACCCACAAAGCTCTGCTATGCACTTGGAGGCTGATAACCCCAGTAGCTCCTTACATCCTCTAGAACCTTGAGCTTTTCCCTTTATTCCCCAAGGTTTGCTACTCAGAGACCTAGAGAGCAGGAACATACCTGCCCCACCATGTCCTTCTTCCCTTGAATGTGAAGTCTCCTGCATCCTGCCTGATTGACGGCCCCACTGTTTTGCCCAACTTCAGCCCACATTTCCCCCCGTAAAACCTCAAGGAGGAACCACCACTGCCGGCTACATGTTTGGTCCCACCCTACTGTCTACCCATGGCACCCATTCAGGATATCTGTCCTTCCGTGCATAACTCTCGACAGAGCACACAGGAAGAGATGGCCGTGGATAGGGTGAGGTGAGGAGAAGAGCAGAACTGGCAGCCCTCGCCCTGGATTCTCCAGGGAGCTCCCTGCTGAATCAGTTTTCCATGGAGCGTGCTGAAGCAGGAGGACAAGATAGCAGCAAAGCTTCCTATCATTTGACTGCCTCTCTCTTCTCATTCTGCTCTGGCCTCATTAACAGTGTGAATGTGCTCAGTGGGGTGACTGCAGGGTGGGAAAGCATTCCAAAGGCCAGACACTATATTAGACAGTTTTTGCCACACATTTCGGTCTCCTCTCCCCAATCCCCAAACTTCTTCTTGAGCAATTCCAGAAGAAGCAGGAGCCCTGGGGAACCTAGGATTATCAGGAAATAATCAGTTACCAGCTGATCTGCAATAATCTGCAGCCTGTTGTCCCTCCTCCAGGTGAGAGATACACAGAGGGGGTGGCCTTGGAAGTAGGCTAATCAAACAATGCAGAGGTGGGTGAGCACAGAGATATGTGGAATAAAAACCCTCAGGGGTTAAAATTCTTTCTCTGCATGCTTCCTGAATCTTGTTAGCTCTGGCTTATGCTGCTTAGTGAAAGTAGCAAACATAGTCCCTTCCTCTTTGTTTTTAAAATCAAGGCTCACAGCATTTATAGAATAGATTATTGTCACTTTTCTGGCTGGTGCCAAGCCTCCGTCTGACGTGGCAAAGGCCACTTTCACTTTTCTGGCTGGTGTCAAGCCTCCATCTGACTTGGCAAAGGCCACTTGCCATGGAAACCTACGAACTTGTTTAAAGCTACTGGCTCTAATATGACCCTGCTTCTCTAAGCACATCTGCCCACCTCCTCAGTCATTCATTTCAAGTCTGTGGATGCCAGGGTTTGGCCAGACTCTTAGGCAGATGACTGTGGGAAGGTCGGTGGGGTCTTTGCACTATACTTCAAATTTAGCTTTCACTCCAAGCCCCATGATTCGACATGGTTACAGAGACTTAGTGGTTCTCCCTTCTAGTCTTTCCTTCACAGCATTTTTCTCAATATTTTCCTCCTTTCCTTTCCCCTTTATCTCTGTCCTTCCCTCTCTTGAGTACTTCTTTTTCCCGTCTTTTCTTTCTGCTATCCTCCACTTCTATTTAAGCTATACCTTAGGTCATCTCTTTCCTTTTTGCCTTCACCTTATAAGCAAGAAAGAAATTATGAGTTTGGCTTTTTGGGGGGTGGGGGTGCTGGGAACTGAACTCAAGTCCTTGTGCACATTAGACAAGCTCTCTACCCCTAAGCTACACCTCCATCTCTGCATGAAATAAATCTTGAGTCACCTTCAGAGCTCCTTAGTCTCATTCTGAATGAAGGCTGGGTGGGAATAGCTAAAAAACCGTGGAATATGTCTTTTGGCCTGAGTTGTCTAAGATGCAGATTGGAGCAGGTATCTCTGCTGTTACTGAGTTAGGGTTGTCTGTTTGAAGGTGACAGTTCAGGAATGGCTCATGCTGAAAGCTAGTCAGTGAGTGTTAAATTCCATCCATCAGTCATCGAAATGTATCAAGTGCCCAGTTTCTTAAAAATCCTGTACTCTGTACTATGAAAAGCTAGGAAAAAAAGTCTTTGCTCAACACCTATGAGACACATTATCTAGAAACATCAAAACAGGTATAAGCATATTTTGGCTTCTCAGAGCTACCCAGAACAGTATGGGCTAAAATAGGTGAGCACACAAATCAGATTCAGAGGCAGAAAGAAGGCTTTCTTGGCTGAAGTCAAGGTTCATGTCAGGGAACAGCAAGAGCCGAGGATAGCTGGAAAGGAGGCAGTGCCCTAGATGTCTGTTTTGCATGTGTTTATCACCGTTCTTCCCAGCTGAACTTGTTAGTGAATAAGGGAGGCCTTGGCACATGGGGACCTTGTCAGTCTCATGCTTTGAAGGCCTGACTGCTGAGTCCGATGTTCCCCAAACTGCCTCTTACCCTTCTCCTATCCCAACCACAGAGAGGACTCCTAGCCAGTAAATTGGCAAATGAGCCTGATACGAAGGTTCATTAGCAGGAAGGAGAGTGAGTATCTTTCTGCTCATACCTGGAAGCTGATGCACAATGCATGTTTGTAAAGATTACCGTCTTATACATCTCCGAGCACCTAGACTGCTGCTCTTCCCTCCTTTTCATTCAAAAAGAACACAATTTTTCCAGAAGTCATTCCCCAGCCTCTGGGAAACCCTGTGCCTTGCTCCAGCCCACTTTCCTTCCATACTTTCCAGCCCTTCCTAGACCTGCAGAGCCAACTCCACAAGACCTCACAAAGCTGTCCTGGCACATTTTCCCCTTGGCACTGGACCAAGCAAGACGAGCAGTAGCTGGTCCTACTGATTCAGCAAAATATCTGTGCAGCCTGAGTTTCAAAGGTCAACTACAAAAAAAAGGCACCCTGGCTCAGGGAAGGGTGAAGAGGGTAGGGAAAGTGGGAAAAAAGAGGAGGGGCAATCTGGGATGAACATCTGAAAAGAGACTCAGTTCTTGAGTTTAAATTCCATGTAAAGATTTTGACTAATTACCCTTGTTGAGGAAGCTGATTATGTTTCCCCTTTGGGATCCAAATATATTTGGGTAGCTCTGGTCACAGAGCAGTGGCAGCTTAGTAAGGGGTTTCTTAGTGAGAGTCCCCAGGAACACTGGCACTGCACTTGGCATATTCCCAAGCATCCAGTCATCTGGCAAGGTTTTCACAGCTCAGGCCACTGCAGTGACTTCCTCCTCTGCTCTGGAAAAGCAGGTTCCCACATGAGCTGTGAAAGGTTTCTTGTTTCCATAGACTTAAGACACGGTTGTCCTCCCTTCAGGCAATGAGGGCATTAACCAAAGGAAGGGAACCAAGCGTTAAAGTGAGAGTGAAGTTTGATTTTCTAGCTGCAAGGAGCTTCAGGAAGCCACGGATTCACGGAATGTTCTGATCTAGGGTGTTGAGGATGGGAACGCTGGGTATGCAGGAATTCTGTGTCACCCTCTCCCAGTCGGAGGACCTTCCATTCATTATTTCCTTTCTTTCAGCCAATATTTTTTAAACACATGAAATGAAGAATTACAATACCTTAAAAATTCAAACCTTAGATAATATCACTTGTTTAGCACTGTTTCAAGCACAGAGTAAGTGCCCAAAACATTATAGTATCTTTGCATATAAAGGAATTGTGACACAGAAAATACAGGAGCTGCATCTGATGTCAGACAAGCGACAGCAGGAATCCTGGTTCAGATCTCTTTCTGTTCCACTGGGCCACCTTTCCACATGTGCCTTTCCTCATCTACTTCTCCATCTCTGGACAGTGGGCATCCGAGCTATTCCAGGTACATGAAGGTTGAGCTTACTCTGACAAAAAGCAAGTAAGCAGGACAAATCCACTCACTGCCTGCTAGTGGTCTATAACTTACAGTCAGAAAGCTATGAAACTGCTTCTCAAAGCCCAGCTGATATCACTTCTGTTGCATTTTAAGATTTTTGCACTTCTCTTGAGACCTTAAAAGGACCCGAGTTATCACCTAAGGCCCCTTGGTGATAAGGACCTCTGCCATTTCCTAAATTGGGACACTATAGTCTCTTCTAGGAAAAGGTATACTGACCTGCCAAAGACAAAATGGGCAGAAGAGAGAGGAGTTTGAACCTGAGAAGTACTCCCAACTTCCGAGGCAAAAAAGCTGACTCCATTTCTCTTCGTGGGGACGGAAAGTAGATCTGTTTTTTGTAGCACCCTGAGGGCAAAAGGCTGGAGGGTACAGCAGGAGGGACAGAGAAAAGAAGAGGCCTGATTTGCTGGGGGGTTTCCGAGTGCACAGAAGGGTAGGGGAGAGGAGACTGCTTTGATCCAGCCTAGAGAGCGAAAGAATTTTTTCTTAAAGACTTTTCTTGAAAGAGATATGTTCTAGGAAAAAGAAAACAAAAGAAAATGGGTTTCTAAAATTCTTTCCCTGGTGGTTGCACTGTGAGAGCACCATAAATAAAGATGGGGGTGTGTGTGTGCATGAGTGTGCGTGCGTGCACGTGTGTACATGCACACTGGGATGCTGACTTGGGTGGGGTGGGGGATGGGCTGTTTGCTGTTGCTTTTCTGCTTGAACAATGAATGTAGGAGGCTTATGTAACTGTGAGGCCGGCGGTGTGCTGAGTGGTGCCTCTCCTCCCCTCGCAGGCTGCTGTGAACAGGGCCTGCAGGCAACCTGCCCAAGGCTCTGGGGGACTCTTTAACCCACCTGACCCAAACTTCTCATTCGCCACCTGAGAAAACAAGGTCCAAGGGGGAAGCAACTAGTGCTTCCAGACTAGAGACTGGTAGGTTTAGAGCTTGGATTCTATTAACTCTTCATACCATGTTCCTGATGTTTCATGATGATGAAAACCCTATGACGTGCAAGGCAACGCCTACAGCTAGTTACTGAAGTTCGAGGACCCAGGGAGGTACCTCTGCCTTCCAGAATGTCTTCTCTGTAGAATCTGTACTTGATCAGTCTTTCACACTGAAGCATAAAAGAATTTATTTGAGCAGCTTCCCAGGGCAGGTGTGGTGCGTAGCCACACTGGCTGACTAAAGGCCAAGCCGGGAGGCTCAGTGGGAGCTGGAGGCTCAGAAGAGAGACTTCTGGGAGTCTAAATGCATCTTTTCCACTAAATTTGCGAAGAGTTGGAATGGCCTTGTTTGGCTTTGGTGAGAAAGGGAAGGGCACAGGGTACTCCACGTTGACTTGGAAAAGTTATTATTTAGACCATATAGGAGAAACACGTCCCCATTGAGCTTCGTCATGTGAGAAAGTCACCAGAAAAGAAGTGAAGGAGCATCTTGGTGTTTAGTGCTTGTAGAGGATCCTGAAATGTTCTGGCTGCCCCATGACTCAGTTGGGGCTTGCCATGGAGTGGTGAATGTAGGCAGGAAGGATCAGCAAGCATTAGAGGTTGGCGTCCTATGAGCATGAAGAGGATGGGAGAGGAGAGCAAAATCTAGCACCTCACTAGGTGGCTCATAAATCTTGATTAAGCAAACTCTTGGGCAGTGGGGCCCAGGCAGGCTCATGGATTGTTGAATGCAGGGAGGAGGGGTTGGAGGAAGAGCTGGGTAGAAGGAGAACTCCACAGGAGTGGGATTGCTTGGGCCCAAGTGTTGGGGCATACTTCCCTGCAGCTATGTGTGGGCGTAAAGAAGATTTGAAGGCTCAGGTCTCCAGGCCACTAAGGCACTGATGGGGAATGCGACTGTTCATTCCAGCTAATGCAACCCACCTCACTCCCATTCATGAGCGAGGAGAGTCCTCCTCTCTCTCTGCCCCCCATCTTCAACCAACCCCCCTGCCTAGGAGGTACATTAAGTATGGGAAAACCTTCCAGAGCCTTTCATCTCAGTCACATGCACATAACTTTACATGAGGCTGAATAAGCAATGGGCAATGAGTCCATAGGGGCGAAGAGAAAAGAGGCCTTTTTCCTGGTGGGACAGAGAAGGGCCATGGGGTGGCTCCATAACAGAGCACTTGCCTAGCATTCTCGAGGCCCTAGGCTGGATCCCCAGAATGAGGGAAGAAGACTGGGTTTTGAGCACATGATTAGGCCTGAGAGACACAGAAAGAGCCAACACCAACACCTGCTCCAGGCCTTAATCCCATTTTTTTTTAGTAAGCCGGATCTATTCTGTTCATGGAAATGTCAGGATCCTAATGGGAAGGTGGTGGGCGCCACTGCTGTGGGTGTGTCTATGAGGCTGAGTGTTGCTGGCCTAGCCTAGAGAGATAACAGCCACCCCACACCACAGCCCGCACAAGTCTCGGCACAGCTTAGCATGGCTTTCCTTACCTCTGCCAGCAACAGCGGGTGTGAGCTCCCTGGGCTCTGAACGACTTCTCCCTGTTCTGCCAAGAACACTTCATCTCCCTTGGCTCACCTGTTCCTCCTGGATCTCCCCTCTAGTCTCCAGTGCCTCCACTATAGCCCACTATGCCTGCAGCACGCAGGAGACCAGAGTAAGCCCCTGAACGAAGGCTGCTCAGACAGTGGACAGGTGCAGCAGCTGTACGGCTGTGTATCTGGAACTCTCTGTTGAGGTACAATCTTTGCAAGCTCAGGTACAGAGCAGCTTGATGCACAGCAATCAGGAAAGTGATTTCCCCGCAGCCTCCCTTGGCTAGCTGTGGCCAGGGCCCAGTGCCAATCGCCTCTCTCGGCTTCGGACATGCCAGGTCACCAGCCTTCTGACTGCCTCCAATCAGGATTGCCCTCCTTTCCCAGTCACAGAGGCAGGGGAATTCCACAATTTCTTCCTTGATGAATGATTCCAATCTACAACAATTTTCATTCAATATGTCAGTTTAACATAATGATTATTTTAAAACAACAGAAACAAAAACCCTGCAAGCAGTTGGGAATTTCTCGCTTGGGTCTAGCTTCAGTCTTCCCTGTACAGAGCCTGGTTTCACAAATATACTCTGGATGCTTCCAAAGGGGAGTTCACTGGACTGCTTTGATGCTCTTGGGCTCAACTCCGTCACAGCCTAGTAGGGAAAGCCAAGGGGGCTTCTGAGCAGGCAGAGGTACCGGGCTGGCAGCATGCTCTTTGCAAGCTGGGAGACTCAGATCCAGCAGCCAGTATTTCTGTGCTCTCCTCCCTCACAGAACTCCAAGTACAGCTTAGTCCAGATTCTCCCTCATTTCCTTTCCTTTATTTCCCCTGCTGCCCAGTAAGGACGATCATTTTTCTCCTTGCCCCTTCTACCCGCAGCTCACCAAGTCTGGGGAAGCAAAGCTCCCAGGGGTCGCTGTCGGAGGAAGGGTGCAGCTTACACGTGAAAATGGCTTCTCCACGCCACAGCCACCAAAAGGAAGCGGGGGTGGGGTGGCGGCTGGGGGAAGATTCTGAATTCATCCTGCCTTTCAGAAAAAAACAAAAGAAAAACGAAAAACAGTGGCAGACCCCTTGGGCCCTGGGGCGAGCTGCAGCGAATCTCTCTGAGGCTTCAAGGGCTAACTACCCCGGAAATTTCCACTGGGCCCGCTCAGGCCAAGACAGTGTAAAATCCGGGGCAGCGGGCTCCACGCGCTGCCCCCTCCTGGCCGCTGCGCCCCGGCCACCCCGCTGCTCCGCAGCCCGGGGAAGCCCTTCCTCCGCCGGCCGCGCTCCGGGCCTGGCGGCTGGGGAGGGCGCGGAGTCGCATCTCGGGGCGCGGGCGGGCTGGCGAGCCGCCGGCGGGCGGGCTGGGATCTCCCGGCCCACGCACCGCTCCCAGCCCCGCGCACCGCGGGGGCGGGCCCCCCGCGCGGGGAAACTGCGCGCCCACGCCGTGCTGAGTCACTCCCAGGAAACGCCAGCCCGCACCTGTGCGCTCCGGCTCTCGGAGGCCCGCAGCCCCCCACTCCGGCGCCCGGACCTGGCTCCCGAGGGCCCAGGCTCCCGCCCTCGCAGTACCCAGCTCAAGCGACTGGCCGGTACCCGCGGCTTGCTAACCGCCGCGGCCTGTCCCGACTCTGCCAGGCGCGCCCCCAGCCGCCCACCCACCGTGTCCAGGCGCGTCCTCCCCAGGCCGCCCCCCGCGCCACCCGGGTCCTCCCCCCCCCCCACCCCGGGCGTAGCCGGCTGCATACTGGGTCGCGCTCAGCAGTGGTTGCTCCAGCTCCCTGACCCTGGGAGACCCCCCTGCTGGCTGGACCCAGCGTCAGCTCATGCTCCTTGCCTTGCAAGGCTCTGGCCCAGGCTGGATGGAGTGGATCCTTGTGCATTCAGATTCCACCTGTCCTGGTCTTCTTAGATCCAAAAGAATCCTAGCCTCTTCTTGGCTTCCCCTTATTTATATTTGTATTTTGCGGAGTTACAGTCCTAGAATTTCAAGCGATCTTCTGGCTCAACCTACAATTGAGCATGGTACAGTATCTGTGAATGTGGCTCGGGTTTGACCCTTTCTTTTGTCATTTAACAGCTTGATCCTGAGCAGGGGCAGCCTTTAGTGTCTCATGTATAAACTGAGAGATGGTGCCAATCTCGTGGGATCGCTGTCACAGTTAGAGGGAATGCCAAATCAAGTCACGAGCATAATGAGTGCTGTTGTCTGAGGACCCTGCCAGTGGTAACAACTGGCCAGGAAGTGCTTTTGAAAGATAGGACTTCACCCTCTTTTGATTTGACAATGTCTCAAATATTTGAAGACAGCGGTCCTTCCCTCCTGTGCCTTTCTGCCCCCACTGCACACCACCCTGCCATCATTTCTCAAACTAAAACATCCAATTCTGGTGCTTCCTACTTCACGTGGATTAAGCATACAGCCCAGGAGGTGTAGCTGGGCCAACCCTGGCACAAGGAAGCCTTTCTGGTGGTTCTGGGCCCCGCCCAGGTGGTGGGGGAACCCGCTGGCATTCTCAGGTTCGGGATGGGGTCCTTCCAACCTGAGGGCAGCTGAAGCTCTGGGGCTCTCTCACCGGAAAGATTCTGGCTTCGGCCACTGCTACTTGTACCCTTGTGCCTATGGCTTTTGTTTTTCTACCAAAAATGCTTGGACTTTTCATATAATCTTCTTGTCTTGCAGTTTGTCAATCTGGTTATAGTCTTTTTATTTACTTTGTTCTTTTCAAATAGATAACACATTGATTTAGTAAAAGGTGCAAGCGTTTACAATGAAAAGTGTCTCTACCTCTGTTTTCTAACCACTTGTCCACTGCCTCCCCCAACGTTGGTTAGCAAGCTCTATGTATCTTCCCAGGATGTTTGATTTTTTTGCCCTAATAATGAATGGGAGTGATCTTCCCATATTCAGTCTGAAGAGAGTTGTCTTGTTCTTTTTAATAGCTACAAGGTATCCCATTGTGGCTGATTCTATATGACCTTCTTTCCTTCCTGCTGGGAATATGGGAATGCAAGCCCTAGGTAGTCTGTTTCTGCATCAATATTCGGGTTTTTCTGAAAAACTGATGTAGGAAATAGGCAAACTTTACTGAGGAGCTCCATTTGAAATAGCCTCTCCAGTAGTAGACATGCTTCAGACATTGACAGACCACAGAAGAAATAAGATTCAGCCCCAATGCCTCTAGCTCAGCTTGCTCTTCCATGTGCGCCCCTGTGTGTTCAAGCTTATGTGTGCACACAGTCCTGGGGGCAGAACCCAGTGTGCCTCACACAGGCTGACCAACCGCTTTATCACTGAACTAGGCCTCTAGCCCCACCTCCTGCCACCTTTTTATTATTTTTGAGGCAGAGTCTGGTTAAATTGACAAGGCTGGCTTCAAAATTGTAATTCTGCCTGTGATTACAGAGTAGCTTGGATTACAGACAAATCTGATTCACTTTTGTGCCCTGGGGCTCCCTTTGTTGGGAGCAGTTGTGGAGATTGAGGAAGCTGTCAGGTATTACAGAACAAGCTGAAGACAAGACAAAAGGCCCCTCTTTCAGGAAGTCCCCCTGAACTGATCCAAGGAATGAACTGGCAATTGTGCAGGATTGCTTCATTCTCTACATAAGTACATAGTTTCATGGCATCTGTATTCCTTTGTTCTCTTAATATTTATTATGTTTACTGTGGGCCAGATCCTTTTCCCTGCATTAGGGTATAGCAGTGAACAAAAAAATCCCCAATTTCCTCATGAAATTCTTTTTATTTTCCTTTCTTTTTTTCCTCCCTACCTGGGAATGGATCCCAGGGTTTTATACATACTAAAAAAATGTTCTATCACTGAGCTACACCCCAAACTCTCCAATATTTTTTGTTACGGGGGACTGGGGATTTAGCTCAGAGGCATAAGCACCTGCCTTGCAAGCAGGTGGTTGTGAGTTCAATCCTTGGTACCGATGAAAAATATATATATATTTTTTGTTGTGGGTACTGAGGTCTATTGTGAAGTGTTAGGCATTAACTTTAAGAAAAACTGGGCACCGCTGGTTAATCTTGAGCAGACAGTGCTTAAAAGGAACTTTGGACACTGAGTTGAGTTTGAGTTGAGAGCAGACGGACGAAGAAAGGAAGAGGGTAGTGGGGATAGAAGCTGGTGCAAAATCCAGGCAGACAGAAGTAGCTGGGATGAGACAGCACCGTCGTGGTGAAGTGGTGGTAAACTTTGGGAAGCTGTACTTCAAGAAGGATTAATGTGTAATGGAAAGATGGACTGGGGTAGAGTCCAGGGTGTGGGCCAAGATCATCAGAAGGATGAGATGGGGAATCTGGGTGGCTGAGATTTTGACAGTTAAGTTTGAGATGCCCAGTACTCATTGGAGTGGAGACACAGACAGGGCGTTTGGGATAACTGGAGATAGAAATTCAGATGGTTTTTAAGTCCTGAGATGTGACATCACCCAGGAGTGACAAGACAAAGGAGATCAGGCACAGAGGCTACTACCGAGAGGGTTAATGCCAGGAGGAGGGTAGGAGCAGCCACAAGGGGAGGAGAAAAGCTCTGAGAAGCCCCAGGTGTACTAGCAACCATGGCTTCCAGGAGGAGGGTTTGAGCCACAAGAATCAAACGCTGCTAACACGCTCCTTTGGATGAAAAAGCATTGCCCATTGGCTTCAGCAACATCCAGGTAATTGCTGACCTTGAAAAGCAGAGTCTGGGTGAAGCAATGTGAGTAGAAGCTTGATTAGTGTGGGTTTAAGACAAGGGGAAAGAAGGGGCGTAAGAGACAAACCAATGAAACGTAATGTGTGGACCTTGATTAGGTCCTGATTCAACTGAAGCAACTGGAAAGACAGTTTTAAGGCAATCAGGGAAGTTTGAACACAGCTGAGGCATTAGCTGAGATTAGAAAATTACTGTTAATTTAGGTAGGTGCAATAATGATACTGCTATTATGTTTCTTAAAGGTTCTTACCTGTTAGGGATACATTCTGGGTGAAATGAAATTTCTAGAGTTTGCATTAAAACACTCCAGCAAACTGTGCATAAAGAAGCAAAATTTGAGTCATTTGTAGGAAATAGTTAGATCTGAAGAATATAATATTAAGTATAATAAATCAGACACCATAGTTTTAATATCACTTGGTTACTCAAAATACAAATAACAAAAAGCAAAATAAAGGGGAGATGGTAGGAAACGGAGGCAGAGTCTGTGAGATAAAAAAAAGGGGTCAGCGGAAGGCGGGGATGGGGAGTAAAAATGATCAAGATGCAGTTTGCCAAGATAAATGTAATAATTATGTCTCACAGGCATGCACTAATGTTTAAAAAAATTTAAATATTCCAACAACAGCGTTGGTAGATTAGTAAAAGGTATGTTTGCGGTTTTTCTAATTTAAAAAAATGTAAAAGATAATGGAATTGAGAGTAACTGCAGAAAACGAGGGTAGAAAACTTATAAGTTTTATAATGAAAAGGGATAAAAAATGAAGCAACAGGTTAGGGAGGAAGGAGATTAAGACAGAGGATTATTCTTTAAAAGAGGAAAATTATAGCATGTTAGCTGACTCCACGTACCGACCATCCACCACAGAAAGGGTCATATCCTGAGCACTGCAGGGAAATGAACAATTCCTACAGGAAACTAATCATTTAATTACTTTAAACGTGTGGGAAATGTGCCCCATGAATTTACTGTAGACTACGCACTGTGTTGTGTTTGACAAATCTTCTTTCAATATGTCCTAGTAAAACTTTATGAGCTAAACTCCACCTTACATTCAAGGCCACATAAGACTATTCGTCCAGTTCAAACCTGGGCATTCAGTCCTCTTAGCAGAATACTCCCCGGTCTTCAGGCGCTGGTCTGAGGTCATCTGCATGTGAGTTTCCCCAGGGGTGTCTTTTGCAGCTGTACTGTCCCAGCCTGAATAGGTAGAGGGAAGGAGCGTAGCCAAGTGTGCTTTAAATGACACTCACAGGGGATTTTGATGCAGTTTCCTGCTTAAAAAACCATTAGAAAAGATCAGAACAAACACACTCATTTATCAACACATGTGCAAACACTTGTGCCAACACTCTCCGCAATTAGGCTAGTTGAGGCTGGGGAAAACTCAGATGTGATGTACTGCTTCACAAGAGAAAGGAAAGCAGAAAGAGGAAGCTGGGTGTTTTTGTTAGCGATGGAAAATTTTGTTTAGCTTCCTTAAGGGCAAAAGTTACACATGTACATTCATTTAGCAAGTATTTGTTGAGTGCCTCTTACATGCCAGCCTCTGCTGTAGGCACTGGAAATTCACTGTGAGCTGATCAGACAGAACTGCCTCCCTGGAGCTCACAGTCAGGAGGAAAAGATGAATACTAGGCAGTAAAACCGCACACATGTAATCTAAATTCATGAGAATTAGGAGAAAGGTAAGGACAGGACAGGGTTGTTTTGATAGACCTTTCCTCCCTCAGGAGGTATCATTTTAGCAGAGAGATTAAATAAAACAGTTAGGGAGGCTCAGCACCCACTGCCAGGCCCAGTTCCTGTGTGTGAAGTGGAACAAATGACCTTCTCTGAGGTAGCATAGCATTCCATGAAAAGGCCCTGGGGCTGGAAGAAAAGCAGTTAAAACAATACAAGAAGGAAAGGGTGGCCAGAGGGGAGCAAGAAAAAGATACCAAGAGATGGGAGAGGAAGCAGGGTTGGACAGGGCTGTCTGGAAGAGTTTGTGGATGGAGGATTCCAGAAAGTCAATGTCTGGAAACCTTGAGCAGGAGAACAATGCCCCCCACCATGGGAAACAGCTACGGAGTCCAAAGGGGCAGACACAGGAGAGTACATGCAGCTCACAGTTCTTCCATGCGTACTCATTCATTTACCTTTCTCATAACATCTACATACTTAATTTCTGCTATGTCCTAGGCATG